ATGCCCTAACTCCAAATGGCAGCAGATACTCTGAAAGGTATTTACTCTCTGCCTACCTACCTTATCTTCTGAATTAATTCGCCCTCTCATTCAAGATAAAATAAGAGCTACATCTTGGATTTATTTGGGGTGGAATGGGAGAGTGTTGCCAATGTATTCTTGTCTTTGAATGATCTGATTGTTTTCTTTTTAAACATGACACCAAAAATCAATCCCTGCCCTTGTACTGCAGACAGGTATATCCAAGAGACTAACACACAATTAATAGACCTCCCAGTAAGTCTACTGCATAGCCAGGAAATTGGTATTATAATGCTCAGGGGTTTTTTTCCGCAGGGAGGCAATCATATTGACTAGATGAATAAATAAGTTCCTAAACAACTTTTTTTTTTTTTTTTCTCAGATGTTCATCTGGCTTCATATCTATACTGTTCTGCTCGTATTTCTACTCAACATAGATACTCCAATTTCTTGAAAATTCCTGATTGAATGTAGAAGAAACGTGACACAGCATAAAGACAGGTATTTCAGAAATAGGTTTTCTGTTTTCAGGTATCTGGTTTTTGACAGTATCTTGTTTTTCAAAAATAAAAATGAACTCTTGATACTGCTGAATTCAACTGGCTTTTTGGAGCAATTTCCTGCTTTGTTGCTGGTCTGGCCTTGAAGCCATAGTTGGTAGCCACTTCTAGAAAAACCAAACCTGTCTGGAGTAGACATCACTGGAGAAAACAGATACTCATCCAGGAGTAAGCTTATATGCAAGTAAACCAACTGTCCTCATTTTTTAGGTTAGCGACAAATGCACTAATTGACTCTATTGTGTTGCATCTTATTAAACCCACTTGACTTCCATGCACAGAACAGCTACAAAATCAGATGCTATGTGCATTTAATTAATTAAACATGATTATTTTGATTCACAGAAAAAAATGTCCATCCATTGTTCTGAGTGCTTTCACATTAAACAGTAAAACATTTTAAGGCTTTTTTGCTCACCCTTTTTAACGGAGCTGTTAGCCATTAATGGGCATCGCAGACTGACTCACTCGTGAGGGAGCATTTTGTTAAAGTACAATCCTGCTTGAAAGTTCTGGTTTGTGGTTTTTATTTAATTATAAAAAACTATATATTATAGTTCCAGAAGGAACTACAGAAGTAAAAAAAAGGGTGTGGATATGGGTGTTGGTATGCTTTTAAAGCAGGTTCAAGCAGCCTGGGTAACTTTGATTTTTCCTTTCAGCATTTTAATTTACATTAGTTGCTTATAAAAGCTTTTGATTAAATGAACCACTGCTGTATTCTTATGCTCATCAGTCAAGTTTGTCTTGCTGTGCTGCATTTATGTTGTGACTCAGGCCAAGCAGTCCTTTTCAATGTAGAGAGAAGGAAAAGAAATATGGCATTGCCATAAAAGGCTGAGCTAGCTCGCGCTTCTTTGGTAATTTGTTTTCTCCAGGGCGTTTGGCTAGGGTCTGTTTGTAGGTGATTTTGCTCTGCCTTCTCACCTAGCTGACGTTCTCCACAGCAGCTGGTGGTCTCACATCAAAGAAACATTTTTGAAAGCTTGCCTGTAGTATTGGCATTGGCTTCTGCACATTGGGCCCCTCCTCTCCCCAAACAGAGCAGCTACAGAGACCCCAAAAGGCACATGTCACCTGGGAGAGGAGAAAGGCAGCCCCACTCCCACCAGCACAGTCCTCTGTGGGTAGAAACTAGGCTGTGATTACTGTAACAAAGGTACAGACCTTTCAGTTCTAGCTCTGACAAAATTCAAATGGCCTGACTGCAATGATTGGCTTCATATTGGTGGCCTGGAAGTGGGGAACAGAATTGTGTAAAGTTATACAGTCATGAGGCACTCATGCAGATACACCATTAGTAATCCCAACAGCTAGCCAGAGTTCATAAATGTTATTCTCTGTCCTGAAAATATAATAATTCATGTGCTAAGGAGAAAGAAAAGCCTCTGTTCTTTGTGTTTAGCTCTGAGCTGGTCTGAATGCCATAGGGAGAAAAGGGAGCCCAATGCTTAATCATACTTGTGTTAGCTTGGTTGTACAGCTCAACATTTTGTGTGTTGCAGCATATTACCTCAGAGTCATTAAGTAAGTATTTTATTAAGAACTGTCCTATGTGGCACTAAGGTCTTATGGTTAAGTGTGTGCTTAGTGCAATATGTTACATTGAGCAGAAAAAAAGGACTTGGCTTCCTAATCAAGATTTTCAAATTAGTAATGTCCATCTCTCTCAAAAGGGCATAAATGCCATCTTTTAAATGACTTCTTCAAAAGTTTCTGTGGGCTTTCTTTTACATGATGGTATAATTTATCTGATTTTAGTTCAAGAAATATTCTTTATATGATGACAATAAAATATAATTAATATAACATCATATCATATCAATAATATATCATCATATCATATATTATATTTTAATAATACTATTTTAACATGCTCTTAATAGAAAGAGTTGTTATTGACTGTATTGCACTTGCCAGAAGTTCTGCCTGGATTAGAGACACCATCCATGGAAGTGCTACTGCAATCTTGCCTGAGACAGACTAAGATTTTATTTCATGATGAGTGAACAGTGAGACTGGTACACAGGAGGGATATGAAAAATGTGTTGATTGAAAAATGATAAGTGTTTCTTTTAACAAGCAAGATTTTCATGGCTGATTACCAGTATCCAGTGGGCTCTGAGAAGGACTTTGAGTTTGAAACAAATATCTGGGACATTTCATTTGTGTGAGTGTTCAGTGAAACATGAATTCTACCTAAGCAGTGTCTTGAATCACATTCATCAGTAGATCTTTATGGCAACCCACAAAGAAACAAAACTTTGCACGGTTACTCTGTAATAATGTTTATTTCATATTCAAAATGTGTATTACTGCTCCAGAAAAAAACCCCAAAAAACCAAAAAAACAACTTTCATGAAAACTCTTTCTTCTTTAGAAGATTCATAATTTCTGTACCAATAGACAGCAGAAAAAGGGAGGCAGAAAGACATAAGGTGATTTATTAGCCCTTAAACATTAACTGGAGTTACAGAAATTGTGACTTAAGATCATACAAGGTAAAATTTTCTTTGCAGAGCACTCACAAAAGATGGTTAACCATGTTTTCCTATAAAAGAAAAGCTGTTTCAAAAAGCAACTCTTCAGAATTGTGTTGTTGAACATTTAATGTTTATCTGGTTTTGTAAAAGCTTTCTTCTGATAGAGGAAATTTTAAGTATTCAGAGCCATAAAGCTTCTCCATGAGGAGCTGCAGAGATGTACTCTCCCTCAAAAAGAGACACTGAGTAATAGACACCTAGTTCCAGCAAAACTCTGCCTAGCACTGACACACAAAATTATACATCCTCTGTGAGGCTATTTGCAGTAAGGAAGCCAGCTTTAGGAATTAAAAATAAAGTAAAATATATAATTTCAGTTCTTTGAGGACTTGGGAAATGAGTTTTCACTGCAGTCCAGGAGCCACCTCATCTCAAAGTCAGCTGGGCATGTTTTTGAGTTATTAATGTTTCTAGATAGAGAGGCAGAAGACACAGTTATTTTGTTTGTGCAGAACAAACTTTAATTCTTTCCTGTATTTTTTGCCTAGTACAGACTTCCTTTACTGGGAGGCTTCCAGTATTTTTTTTTCATTCTTACTGAGTTGTAAATACAACAAAAAATACACTCTACTGTAGTATCCCCTATTCACAGGGAGAATAGGGAATTAAATATTTCCTTTACAAGTCAGTCCTGACTTTTTTTTAAAGGGTTTTCACAGTCTCAGAAAACATACTTACCTACATGTATAAGGCATTGTTATATAAAAAAGATCATCTTACTCCCCTGCTCAACAGTACTATGTGAAAAATTATTAATTTTTTCAGTGTTAGATGCTATCTCTAAGTAAATATTCTTTAATGGTCACAGAGTGGTTGTAAATAATGGACGTAAATTCTCTGTATTCAAAAAATATCTTTGTATCCAAAAGTCTGTTTGCTTTTCCCCACTTAAATCAATTGGTCTCACTGCCTACTTTTCTACGTAGACTTTGCTTGAGAAGACATTTGTAACAATTGATGAAACTTTGCAGTTCTGCAAGGAAGATCTGGGTAGGCACTTCTAAAGACTGCTTCATTTACATGGTCTTGGAAAACTTCAAGAAAATATTTATTCTAATCATGGTCAGCTGGAACTGTAATAGTTTCAATTTCATAATAGATGCTCAATCCAGCAGTATGTTCTGACTTTTTTTCTTTTTCTGCTGAAGTCAGAAAGAGCATTACTTGGCAAATTTGAAAATAGTATGAGTCAATTTCAATGGGATTACTGCAGGAAAATGGAGAATAGGTGTTTCTAAACTAAAGCCTTAATTTTACTTAAAACTCTAATTGCTTCAGTATATTTAGGCAGAAATGTGATTTTCAAATTTGCTGTATATATTTGCTGATTACTTAAGGTATGTGCAAATGATTCTATTCTATTGAATTAATACCTTAAATTTAGGACCAAAGTGCAGACATTAATCCAAACTTTTGTCCCACTTGTTCAATTAATTTTATTCTTAACTGTTTACTTTACTGATAATGGCACATATTAAAAATATGCTAAATCTTTCTTTGCTCTTATGGAGGTGTAGGTCTTTTTACTCCAGCAGACACAAATTCAAAAATAATAATATACTGTCAGGAATCTTCATCTCATGTAAGAAATCACTCCTTTTGTGTACCCCACATCTGCAGTATAGCGGGGAAAAAGAATGAGGACCTTTGCAAAATAGCTGCTAATTACTCTTCCTGCATTATTACAGCCAATGCAGGAGTTATTGATTCTTATGGTTGCATTTTTGTTAGGATGTGTTTCTTTAAAAGACAAGAAGCTGGGAAGGACCTTAGACAGAACATTGTAGGGAAAGCAAAGCACAGGAACTTTGAAGTGAAAATGGCATTGGTTTTATTTGACAATAAAAATGCTGTTTCTACATTAGAAGAAACTACTCTCATAGGGACTTTTTTCTTGTTTTGGCTTGACAATCTTGATTTACGTTGTCTCAGTTATATAAAACACTGTTAAGGAAAAAAAAGGCATATGACATCAGTTTTGAAATTCTTGGACATTCTCACTCATCTGTGGATAAAGAATGGTAGTCAAGTGAAAGTAGTGTCTGTTAGCCAGGCACACACCCAAATAATCAGCATGCGGATTAGATTCCACAGACAAAGCTTAAATATGTTATTCTGAAGCTACCTTTACACTCCAAGGCTTTGTTGTCATTGACAGGGAAGAGTATTTTAAACTGACTTTTTATTCACCATCCAGCTTAAATTGTAGCTTTACAAGCGGTCTGTTTGATGATATCACAGGACAGAAAAATATAACCTCTCTAAGAGATCTTTGCAGATTTGAAACATAATTTCAGAGGTACAGCGTTTTCAGAAAGGGTCCAGTGCTGGAACATCAGAGTCAGATAGGGTCATCCAATGTCATAAATTCCAGGCAATGGGCAGGAAATCTAAAGGCAATGATTGCACTCTACAGTAGCAACCACAGGAGTATGCCAGTGCTGTGTTTGCTGCTGATTCTGCTTTTTTTTTTTTTTTTGAAGGAGGCAATGGAGCACCTTTGATGGGAAGGGGGGGATGACCCTACTCTGCTCATTCAAACCCAGTATCTGCATGAGAGAAGCTGCACATCAAGAGATGTACTTTAGTCAGATTTTTGAGACCTTGGTGGCTTTCATGGAATGGTCATTGGCTCTCTCTTGTACTTTAATATTAGTTCTAGAATTTTAATCATGAATATGCTAAGCCCAAAATCTTAAAAAATTCATAAAAATTTCAGCTGAATGTGCAGAAAAACATTGCGTTGCTGATGCTTAGGGAAATTAGTCCCTGAGAACTGGGAGATAGCTGAGTGGGAGCAAAGCCAGTGAGAAAAGTATGCTGTGACTGCTTTATTACAACCTGCAGAAGTCTGCATTTTGCTCAGCGTGATAAAATGTTCTGCAGTTAATTCCTCCCCCCACTTTTTATTTTTTTGTTTATTTATGGATCACTTGGTTTATTGGTGCTATTGTCTGCTGGGTATTTTTCATTGCTCCCAGTGAAGAAAGGTTTAATATTTTTCCTACACTGTGTGTTTTTACCTGCTTTCAGTCCAGTGTCAGTCCAACCAGTGGCTGGGGAATGACTTCAGGCAAGGTTGCCTCAGAGCCCCACGATGGCAGCGGGGCTGGCTGCAGGCTGAGGTGCAGGAGGTTAACAGGGGTGAGGCAGCCCTGCAGCCCTCCCTCCATGGGGCTTTCCCTCCTTGCTTGTATCTGTCTCTATATATATTGGCAATCTCCTGGAATAGTGACTCACTCTCCTGACTGGTATGTAAAACCTTAAAGAAAGTCATTGTTTTTGCTGTAATTCTGAATCTCAGCTGGGGGTGCTGGAAATAAAACTTGCAATTTCTGGAACTGTAGCAAGATCTAGAAGCCTAGCAACTGACTTTTCAAATAGATTTACCAGGTTTGTATGGTATTTAATAGCATGTGTCTTGAAAGCCATTAAATTTACATTAACTTTATCACATTACAAATGGTCATGGCTCAAACTTACTGTTTTGCAAGAACTTACTAGCTTGGATTTGGATACAATTTGTCATCTGCTTTTACATTTCATTAAAAATATTTTTTTGTATACTGCTGCTGTATAAAAATGAAACTCAAAATTTTCTTCTGGAGGAGCTATCTAAACAGCTGAGGAGTGCTTTATTTGTAATAAGTTTGTTCAGTGTACCCCATCACATTTTCTGCAGCCCTTGGAATCTTACTGAAGCAGCAATATGAGATTAAACCCTTAAACAATGTCACCGAGAACATTGCATTTCTGGCAGTGCAATCCTATGTGCAAAAGCTTGAGTACAAAAATGATTCATGCCATCTATTAAAGGCTAATTTAAATACTGGAATACTTTTTTACCATTCAGATGCTATGAATTATTGGATCTACTGTAGTTTGAGACCAAGTCGAGCCAGCTTGTCTAACATGGCAGGAAACTCCAACCTCAAAGGATTTTTAAAAAATTGTAATTGTCACAATAGACAGATCTTTTTTTTTTATTTTACCTATATGGATAATAATCTTTCATGCATCTTAATACAATCCTAATGAAATCCAAAAAATAAATTTCATAGTTCATCTGCTGGTTTACTATAGAGACTGCAGAATAGTATATTAAAAATGTATTTCTTTTTCACTGTTACTCTCTTTATATTATCCAGCAAGTAAATCAAACATAGAGTTCTAACTTATTAGCATAAAATCTCACCCAGACACAATCTGCTTGATGAACAGACTTGCAACATTTTTGTTATGGAGACATAAATTATACTGATATTACCAGAGAAAAAGGATTCTAGTACTTGACTCCATGTTTTTGACAAAACTCTGTATTAGGTTATGACTTTTAGAGAAACATAATGTTTTGTTTCAAATCCACAGATCTAAACTCTCTAGTTTATTAGTTGTTATAACTGTCTTATGTTTCCTGCTTAAATATGCACCAATATAAACCAATTTAACATTCCCCCATGCACGCAAGCAGACACATGCATGCACACGTGGGCACATGTATCTTTCGTGCCACAAAACTGGCAAGTTATGCATTTTCACAGGAGGCTCCCTGAACTATTTAGTTCAGCCACACGGGATATTCCACTTGATATCATTTTCTAAATATTTTTTTGAATTCAATCCTGTATTTCATGAACACCCATGGATTTCTACAACTAACATGAGTTAAAGCAGGGTCAGCTTCTTGTCCAAATGTACCCTGGTACCTTTATATCTCTTATGTATGTAGGGATCCTGTCAGAGTCTGAAAAATTCAGCAAGATTTGAAGGTGAGCTTCGTTTGAGCTGTGATTACAGAGGCATTAAGTACCTGCTGAGCATGGGCCTTAGCAAATCCCCATTGATTACCTGCCAGGCTCATCCCTGAACATCTTTAGACAGTGGGGCTGCCACATCGGTCTTTGCATGGAATTTTTAACATCTCATTTAAATGTCTCATCAACCTGTAAAAATAAGTAGGTATCTCTGCCTGTCATACAGAGACTATTCTACTCTTGGAATTGTTGAATCTACCAGAAAAATATTTTTTAATCCATCCTTGCATAGGATAAACATTTTACATTTGGAAGGATCCAGCACCTAGAATTGAGTACCTTGCAGGGTGGGGGTGGCACCCCCACATGCCTGCTGGTCAGGATGAGCCTCTCACTGCAGGCTGATCCAGCTCACAAACCTGGCCCTCAGAAAAATGTGCTGAGCACTGGTACATCAGGCCACTGACATGGCTAAACCCACGACCATCTCCTTTACATCCCATCATTACAGATGGAGTGGCATATGGGAATGCCACCACCAGCCTTCACAGAGACAGTGTGAGTCTTGAACTGTTTGATCCCTTATCTTTCAGCAGAATCCCTCTGTCTTTCATGTGAAAAGCTGCTCTGCTCTGAGGAGGATCACAGACTCAGGCTGCACATGTTTACCTTTACTAGGTGTGTGAGAGATGCCTGTGGAACCTTCCCTTGCTGTCCATGCTGAGGTGCAGCACCCTGAAACAGGAATCAAAGCAGGAAGGGTGCTGCCGGCTGCCAGTGCTTCATGAGGGAGTTTTTGTTCCTCCTGGTGCATGGGGGACTGACTCACAGCCTATCTCAGGTGGCTGTCAGATTGTCAGTGACCATGATAAAGCTTTCACTTGTCCCAGCTGGGGAGGCTTAGAAGAGATTGCAATGGGAACCAGCTGCTCACATGTCTGTGATGAGCAGGCTCACAGGAAGATTTTTACTCAATTTCTGTGTCTTGCATTATTTAACTTACCACCTGATGTTCCAGCCATACAGTAAATCCAGAAAATTACTAGTTGCTGAGATTTTCACTCTGTGTGTCTGTTTGTGCAGATACATAAGTTTCTGGAGAATTTAAAATTACATGAAGGAATTTGAGCATGACATTTTAGCTGGTTTCTATTCTGCGCCTGGTGCTCTGGCAGTGCCTAGAGCTTTCAATTCTGTTACTGCAGTCTGCAAGGATCTACTCTGCATTACCCCAGCCTCTGCACAGACACGTCCTGCAGGCTGATAATAATCAGGTACACATACGGAACAATGATTATGATAAAAATCTGTGTAACAAAAACAATTTGCCTGATGATCATAAATGTTATTTATTGATTAGCACAGCAGCTTTGCATTGTGCTTTAAAACAAAGACAGGTTTTTATTTTAAAATACAGCCAGGAAAGAAAAGAGAAATGCCAAACTGTGATTCAAATATAACTTTGAATATCTAACTGTACTAAATAGTATATTTCTATGCATACATGTTCTGTGGAACATTGCAGCCGCTCATACAACATGAGGGGAAAAAAATTATTTCAAAGTCAAAATTTATTTGTTAAACATTCCATATTTTCCAAAGAAGTTTAAAATCCATTAATGCAAGTATATAGCAGAGTTTAAAAAAAACCTCCTGAAATTCGTTTTGATCCAGGCTCTACCACTGGCTGTGTTGTGTCACTGAGGCAGGTAGTGACACTTTTATGCAGAATGAATGGTATCTTTTTCTACATTCACAGCTACTACCTTTGCAGTTGTTCAAATATGGTACCTGAGAACATATATTTCTTCTTAGTGGGAATGGGGTCACGAGAAACATCTCACAGTTTACAAAACAGGCAGATCAACATCTTACTTCAGAGCATGTTCTGAAAATCAGTCCTTTTTACCATTTCCCACCCACAAGGCTGTCTTTATCCATTAACACATGGAATTATATGTATTGCAGTTTTGTTTTTTTTTTGTTTTATTTTGTTTTGGGTGTTTTAAATAGTGTTTTGAAAAGCAAATAATTTTTTTGAATAAAGGGTGGTGGTGAAGTTACTGCCTCTGTTTAAAACTGGCAGTATTTCTTAGGATTATATTTCAGCATAAGGGTTTGAAACCACATTTTCAAAGGTTCTTAATTCTGATATCTTGCTTTATTTACTATAAATAAAAAAAAATAGTCTGGCCAGTAGATAAGTGAAGCCTTTTAACAATTAGATTATACATGTGTCCTGCAGGGAATTGCTAACACTTTGGAAGCCAGCTGCAGGATCTGGTTCCGGGAGGGATCGATCTTCAGAAGCTTTGCAAGTGTTATCTGTTCTGTTAAAGGGAAGGGCTGGTAATTCAACTTTTCATTCTCCTGTGAGTCATGGAGCAAATAGTCCAGCAGATGGATCTGAGGTTCCTTCAGACTTGTGAGTTCCTGATTATTCTCAATACACTCATCAACCTTGTGCTTTTGAAGAGAAACCCAGTCTGATGCCTGAAGGCTTTCTATATTGGCATTTCTGTTGCCAGTAGACCTGAAGGAAAAAAACATTTGTTTTTCATGGGAAAGTTGAGAAAGGAGGAAAAATGGTTGTTTTAAATTTCTTTTTTATGCTGACGTTTCCCATAAATGAAAACAGGAAAATAGTCAGTTTTCAAATATTGATTATATTTTTCAAAGTGGGGGTTTCAGTATTAAAACCAAATATTTTCCAGGACTCAATCTTAAACAATGAGAATCCAGCTTTGGAAAATCTTGTGGGACAGATAAGTATTTTCACTTACAATGAGGGACATTCTGTGAGTGAATATATGCGTTCAAATAACAACATTAGTATAGTTATTTTAACAAATGTTTGAACTTGCGTGATTTTTAAAACTTCTTTTCTTTTCTTTTCTTTTCTTTTCTTTTCTTTTCTTTTCTTTTCTTTTCTTTTCTTTTTTTTTCATTTTTCTTTCCATATAAAGTTTATTTTCAGTAAGTGAGCACTAGAGGACAACAGAAAGTTGATGCTGAATTTGCCCCTTCTTTGCACAAAACTGCTGCAGAGACTACCTTGCAAAGTGGGTCCTTTCCTCTTTCCATGGAAGTTCATGAGGGTACCTAAAGACTAAGTCCAGATGCCTGGATCAGGTATTTGGCACCACAATGCTTACTGCAAATAGATATAATAGTGAATCTAACATTACTGAGCTGTTAACCTCAGAATATGAAACACCTCTGAAACCTCTTTGTGTGAAGAACACATGGTCTCCCTCAAAACTGTGCAACCAGAAAAATTAGGAAGTTCTGCAAATGGACCTATACATTATTTAAATATAAATGATGGTATCAAAGGAGAAAAAACAGGAAAAAAAAAGGAGAAAAAAATGATATGAACTGTGGGAGTGCCTGCTTGGTACTTGGATCATCAAAAGCAGTGAATGATATCCTGAAAGGGCCTGTTCTTCTCTACCAGCCATGGCTGAAGTGTGGATACCACATGCAGATGTTTTCCATGGCTGACATTAGACCCTGCAGGATCTGCACAGAGAGGCTGCCCTCTCTCCAAGTCTCTGCCCAGGCTTGCTGAGCTGGTGCCCGTAGCAGCTGAGGGTTTGCTGAGGCTTGTCATGTCCCCTCATCCTTTCTGTCTGGGCTTGTTGCAACTGCTGTTTTCTGCCTGGCTTAGCATCTTTAGTCTCTTCTTCCATAAAAACTGCCGAAACTAAGACAAGCATCTATGGCCCCTGGAGGAGCTGTAGCCATGAACTTGGGCAATTTTTAATTCAGCTTTTCAAGGACATAGCTGTTTACAATTTCTAGCCATGTTAACAATTAAAATGCACTGGTTAGTAAAGATTTTGACTAGTACTACAAAAATGGACAAAGTCACCCAGTCATGTAGAGTAACACTGGGTCAAAAAGCTTAAAATAAGAGCTATTTATTCTTTCCAAGCTACCAAAAGTGACAATGAGAAACACCTTCATAAGCCTATCAAAACACAGACTTGTACAACATTAATTTGTTGATGGTACTGCACAAAGTGCAATGCCCAACCAGCAGAATTAAAAGCTAATAACAAATGTACTTTTCTTTGTTTCACTTTTTTACGCAGAGGTATGTGTCACATTTTTCCTCTCACAAAAATAACAGAACCATCTCTTTAGCAAACTGATAGCAACTAGCAGCATTCAATGAAACTGATTTTCACTGCACATTAATCATGCTGCTCCTATGTCTGCAGCCGTTCCTGCCTGCAGCCAGGAGACTCAAGGACCTGTAGTGTAAGAGAATGATGGGAAAATTAAGTGGGAATCAGGTGAGAGCAGCCCCAAGTATCTTTCTAGATTAACCTTACTACTCTGATTTCTGAATTGCATGCAAATTGTTCAAGCTTTAGTCTATTTTTTTACAGAAACATAAGTAAACATCAGTGAAATGCAGCTCTGCTATGCAGCTGCCTTTTCTATTCATCACATTCACCTTGTCAGCAGTCATCTTACATAGCAGTAGTAAATACAAGCAATAAAGTACAGCTATAGCCTCTCAGTCTTTGCTAAGCTAATGGTTGTAAGCCCGCAGTTCTCACCCTGGCAGGCATACATTTCCTCCATTTGTTCTTTCTCTTTTTTACACTGGTGTACTTCTTACTTTCCCTTTTCATGCACGGAAATTTCATGTTACAGTCAGCTCTGTTTGTGTATTACCTGATAATGGGAAATGAATCAAGCTGTGTACTGCTCTCTGCACCTTGCAGAGCAACATTATTACATGATAATAGTAGAGATAGATCAGTACGGCAGAAGATATGTTTGGTTAGTATTTCCCAACAAGGGCTCAAATTTCATTGGTATTTAATATCAGTAGGCATCACAATGGAGATCATCTTAGTGAGAATCTATGCTAGGCTTAGTATGATTATCTCTACCCATAGCCTTGGGTATTCAGTAGTATTATAGCAGTAGTAATGTTGAGTTGTAATGTCATACAAGTAGCTTGATATCTATATTTTCCATATTTTATTCTGCTTTATATATTTTAAATATGTGTAATATGGAAAACAGAAGATACCTAAGTGCCCAGCAGGGTGGTGACAAAATATGCTCTAAAGATGACATTCACTGCACATTTTCAAACAGCTGCAGTTTTACATCAAAATTCTTGATGGCTCTGCATGTTTTAGTTCAACAATTTGAAAATACATAGCAGATATACTATCATTTAAGTAAGTTACAGAATTCAGCTCAGTTGAAGAGTTATTGCAGACAACTCTCACAGGAATGGCAAAAGCAATCACAAAACATAAATTTAAATGAATTTGTATTTTCATTACGTTTGATAAAACAGAAATCAAGCAAAAGAAATTTTCTTAAATATTTTTTTTTACTACAGCATCTCACTATTTCATCAAAAAATTAATAACACTTATCCTTTGACCGCAATCTCACTCCCCATGTGTGGTATCCTTGAAGAAATTTTGCTATAATTATTATTAGTAGTAGTACTATTATTATTACTGTTAGTAGTACTTCCAGAGAGTCTATGTCTAACCATTCTACCCCTGGGCAAATCTCCCTTTGCACCCAGTGCTATATTAACTCAGAACTAAAAAGGTATCCCAGCCAAAAGCTTAGAAATCAAAGAACAAGACTACTTTGGTAGACAAGCCAGGAAAAAGAATGAGCAACAGTCTGGCTCACCATCACATTTTATGAAGAAACCACTGAGAAATTATTATATTTGGTTTAAAATGTTTAAAGTACCACACAGGCATAAAATACCATTACAGGTTAAGA